CTTTCTCTTTCAGGGGTCCCCAGGCGCCCTGCAGATCGGAGCCCTGCACCCCCTGCTGACTTATCTCAGTGACTGGGACATAGTGCTCTTCTTCCCTGTGTAAAAATGGACCTTGGTCGGGCGCGGTGGCTCAAGCCTGTAATCCCAGCACTTTGGGAGGCCGAGGCGGGTGGATCACGAGGTCAAGAGATCGAGACCATCCTGGTCAACACAGTGAAACCCCGTCTCTACTAAAAATACAAAAAATTAGCTGGGCATGGTGGCACGTGCCTGTAATCCCAGCTACTCAGGAGGCTGAGGCAGGAGAATTGCCTGAACCCAGGATGCAGAGGTTGCGGTGAGCCGAGATCGTGCCATTGCACTCCAGCCTGGCTAACAAGAGCGAAATTCCATCCCAAAGGAAAAAAAAAAAAAAAAAAAAAAAAAAAGGACCTTGGTTTTCTGAGTGTAAATATAACGCATGGTGCTTCTTCATGTTATTGTACAGCAGGTGCCCTCTGTCCCCACACTGCATGAGTGCCGTCTAGGTCACAGCCAGAAGTGCTGCCCAGATAGCTCCAGGTGAGTGCTGGCACTTGAGCCAGCCATGCCTCTTCCTGCCAGGGGGCCCTGCTATGCAGCCTGTTGGCAGGAGTCCTGGGAGCCGCCGTGGCCTTCAGAGTATAACTTTCTCTTCCCACTGGGCTTGGTCGGATCCCTTCCATGGGGCCTCTTCAGGTGTGGGTGTGTCCTGGCTCTGGTTGCCAGGCCTCACCAGCCGTTCCACATTTCCTCAGATACCTACTGATGCCCAGGCCACCTTGTGGCTGTTCCACCTTGGACACTGCTCCAGGCCTCTCATGCTAGGATTCTACTAGGCGCCATGTCTGCAACCAGCCCTGGCTCCGGAGGCCCACCCCAGCTTCCTCCCTGGACAAGATGGCAAGGTTCCCAGCATGCCATGTCTGGAGCAGACAGAGCGAGCTGGCCTGTGGCCTGTTGCAGTCCAACATCTACCCTGGGGGCCCTCCCTGCTGAACCCCTTCATGGACTGGGAATGGCCACATCCAAGCTAGAGGGGCTTTCCTCCCTGTGCTGCCCGTCAGCAACCCATGGAGGTTCCTCTCCACCTCACACCCCTGCTTCTATCACCTTCTCTTCCTCTTGCAACGGACTAACTAGGCTTTCTTTTATTCTCCAAAGATCCAGTGCAAACCACTCTCGGATAATAAAGATGGCAAACGCTTTCTGAACTCTGATCATGTAAAGCGTGTTCTGGGCACCTTACCTGTGTTGCTCCAGTTTGAAACATAGTTATCTTTGTTTTACATGTGAGTCAACTGAGCCATAGAAGTAAGGGACTCGCCCGGTCGTACCACAAGTGAGTGACAGGCGAGGGCACTGATTATAACCCATGCTCCTTACCACTCACCCTGAACCACGATGGCAGGCTCCTGGGCACTTGAGCTCCCAAATGCTTGCCCACTTCTGGCCCTTACACTTCTAGAATCTTCTTGACATTTGTCTCATCTGGTCCTAACCCCCATGTCTTCTGTCCTGATCTGGGCTCTCGTCCTGTTGCCTTCAGCCTGGTTGTGGCAGGGAGGGACTAACCAAAGACTGCACATTTGTCTCGGGTTGTCTACAAAGTGCATAACCCGTGTGCACGTGGTTGAGAGTTGGCTGAAAATCCAAGTTGGGATTTCCTTTAAGGCCCATTTTCTGGGTCCTCTCCGACGTTCCTCTCCAGGCCCATCCTGCTGTGTCAGCTCTGCTCTATAGCCACCACTCCTGACCCCAGCCACAACTAAAAGAGGCGTCTGGACCAACCTTCCCTCCCTGCCTCTGCAGCCAGGTCCCCTGGGGTCTCTGCACCCATAGTGACAGCGGGCTCCTGTGTCAGCAAATGCTGCAGCGTGTTTGATTTTCAGCGTTCCGAACCAGGCCCGGTGCTGGGGACGCAGCAGGGTCACCTTCTGAAGATGGGTTTGTAGCCTCTGAAGAGTCTCTTGACAGCCTTAGCCTCCCCTCACTTAGCCCACATCAAGCAGCTGGGTTATAAAGAAGGGGAACTTGCTATTTAGAAGGGAATCAGAGAGAGCTGTCAGCAGGACATAAATATTCATAGAGGGAGGTTAGAACTTGAGTCCCTAAAACCTTGATTTGTGTTCGACCGTTTAAGCCTCATTAAAAAGTGGCAAATGAAAGTGGGAATATTCAGTGGAACTGCAGATAAATTGGGCTTGTTCAGATAAAGGCCCCCGGCTGTCAGCTCCGCAGGCTCTGCCCAGAGCAGGATAGCAGATTGGCTTGGCCACTTGTGGTTGGCCAACCTCAATTTTAAGATTTTGCTTAGCATGAGTTCCTGGCCTTGCTCTGGGGGCAATTACCACTTGTTTGGGCACTTGGTAGCCTTCCAGAGGTGTTCTGGGATGGAAATCCCCAACCTGCTCCCTCCCCAAAATGACATGCAAACCAAGGCCTGGTCAAGGGCTTCAAGGAGAAATCTCACCTAAGAGGAGGGCTTGCATTGGGCAATCTGCAAAGTGCATAATTTATGTGCATGTCTAGTTGCTTCTCCTCCTCCTAGCTTTTTCTAGCTTCTGGGGACATGAGGGATGGTTTCAGACTCCAGTTGCTACATGAGACCTAAACCGTCTGTCCCAGCCCCTCAGTCCCACCCATGCTCAACTCCACTCATTGTGGCTAAAAATACAAAGACTGTAGCAGGCCAGGCCTTGTGGTGGGCACAAAGAGGAGACAGATGGCCACCGTTCCTCCTAGGACAGGAGCTTTGGACTCGGGAATCTGCCAGGACCAGGCAGGTCACATATATAAGTGGAATGGGCCAATCTGTGGACTAGACCTGGCCTGTGGGCTGCCAGTTCGTACTATCTAGAGACCCCCAGCGTTTGAGGAAATAAGATTTGGACACAAACAGGAGGGCAACAAAGAATATATTCTGGGCCGGATGCGATGGCCTATGCCTGTATTCCCAGCACTTTGGGAGGCTGAGGCAGGTGGATCACCCGAGGTCAGGAGTTCAAGGCCATCCTGGCCAACATGGTGAAACCCCGTCTCTTTAAAAAAAAAAAAAAAAAAAATTAGCTGTGCTAATTTTTAAAAAATTAGGTGTGGCAGTGTGCTCCTGTAATCCCAGCTACTAGGGAGGCTGAGGCAGGAGAATTTCTTGAACCTGGGAGGTGGAGGTTGCAGTGAGCCAAGATCACACCTTCGCACTCCAGCCTGGAAACGAGCAAAACTCCGTCTTAAAAAAAAATTATAACAAGAAAAAAGAAAAAAAAGTGATACACACACACACATTTGGCCTCATTGACTGGTTAATTTGCCAGGAGAAGGAGGGTGGAACGCACCCACCACCCCCCAACAGCCAAGGGCAACAGGGAAGCCTGGCGAGGAGGTAGGGCATCAAGAATTAAGCTGTATTTGTTCCCCTAAGTGGAATCTGCTTCCCTGATTGTGGTTTCTACACCACAGGAAACAGTCTCAGGGTGCTATGGGGCTGGGCTGTGTGTGCTGGGGGTGCTGCTCTAAAGTGGGAGGCACATGGTGGCCTGAGGCACTGGCATGGGGCTGTGGCTCTTCCCTGAGCCTGCCTTCATTTCCCTGCCACACAGGTTCCAGGAAGGCCTTTGGCCTCCCCAGGGACAGCCCCATCTTCTGGCTGCGTCTGTTTCCCAGGACAGCCCTCCTTTGGATGCCCATTAGCAAAGAAATGACACAGTTAACCAGGCAATTAACTCAAGGCTCTGCAGTTGCTCCCTCCCACAGGGCCCTGCTTATGGGGCTGGAGGTGGCAATGGTGGGGCTGCAGGGCAGGGGGTGGATGGTGTGTCACTGCCAGGCCTCTCTCGGGAAGAAGGAAAGTGGCTGATGTGGAAGTGGCTGAGATGGGTGTTGGCCAGGGAGAGAGGCATAAGGTCCAGAAGCTTGGAATGTGACTCTCTGACACCTAGCCCCCAAATGCCTGCCACCCTCTGACCAGCCATTCGTCCTGGGAGGCAGGGATCTTACCTACAGTCATTGATTACTGAACCTGCAGGGGCTCACACCAGAAGTGAATCGAGCAGAGAACCGGCTGAGACTGATAAGGAGAAGAGCGCCCCACCCTGACTCCTCAGAAAGTCATTCCATTTGGGGGGCCCCCATTCTACCATTCCTGAGATAGAGGTCTTATTTGCCATGTCTCCTAGGGAAGTGCTGAGAATGAGTAAAGTCAGAGATGGGAAATGGAGCATTATGGGGCTCCGAGACACTAGTTGCAGTCAGCTGCTGTGAAGGCCACAGAGCCCCCTGAACCTCTGCATGCACTGACACCCAGGGTCGCCCCAGCCAGGGAGGTGGCCGGCTAAAGACCTGGAGCCTGAGTCAGACAGGGAGATGGACTTTTTTTTGGAGGATGGAGTCTTGCTCTGGCTGGAGTGCAGTGGCACAGTGCAACCTCCGCCTCCCAGGTTCAAGCTATTCTCCTGCCTCAGCCTCCTGAGTAGCTGAGATTACAGGCGCATACCACCACGCTCAGCTAATTCTTTGTATTTTTAGTAGAGATGGGGTTTCATTGTGTTAGCCAGGATGGTCTCGATCTCCTGACCTTGTGATCTGCCCTCCTTGGCCCCCCAAAGTGCTGGGATTACAGGCATGAGCCACTGTGTCTGGCCAGGAGATGGACTTTCAATGCCAAATGCATGGTGCCAAGACCCAGGTTTGGACAATCCAGTCCAGTATGTTATAAAACATTTCCCCACTACTCAGATATTTCCCCAAGAACACATCTCTGAAACTAATCAAAGCAAATGGGAAACATAACTATTTTGCCACCTCGATGATAGGCAAAGTTTTTGCTTAAGAATGAAGTCAGAAAGGAAGAAAGGTGTTTTTGGGCATTTTTCTCAGTACTTTTTATTGATTCTTACAGAAAAATGTATACTCTTACAACTTGGACTGCTAAATTATTAAGACAAAGTGTGTCAATGAGAAAAACACCTCTGCGTTGCCCCTAGATGTTTGATCACCCGGCCCCACATGTGTGGAGTGTTTGGAAGCCAGGGTTTCCTCACGGCGTCTCCGTCACTCTGGGATACGCTCGTGGGGCAGGTGCATTCCGTGTTCAGGGATCTAGTTGTTCCTTTTGTGGGCCCAACTGGGGCATCATGCTGGGGAGACAGCAGACCAAGGGGCTGCTCCTCTCCACCCCCAACCTGTGCTTGGCCCAGAGGGTTAGGACAGCCGTGATACCCTGGGCAAAACCCACTGCTGTTTCCAGCATGGTTTAGGCCACTGTCCTGTGCAGCTCAGAGCTGAGCCATGTAGGCAGACAGCAAAACAAAGACACTCCAGGGAAGATGGGCCTGGGTGCCCTGCCCTGCCAAAACCAATCGGGGGGACACCTGTCCAAGAAGACTCCTGTAGGCCCTGCTTCCAGGTCCCAGTGTTTTGAGAGCTGAAGGCTCAGCAGCCCACCTCTCTGTGGCCTGTGTTTCAGATCGATGGGCTAGAGAAGAAGCTGTCCCAGTGTCAGAGAGACCTAGAGGCTGTGAACTCCAGGCTCCACAGCGGGGATCTGAGCCCAGAGGCCAGGTAATGCTCCTGCCCAGCCACCCCACCCTTCCCATCAGGCTCCCACCCCTTGTCTCTATCCTGGGTCCCCAGAGTAACTAGGCCCGAGGCAGAGGGTTTGGGTCTCTGATATCTTAGCTTCAATGCCCCCACAAACAAGATCCGAGCCCTGCCAACCTGGCATGTCAGCTTCTGCTCAGGTGGGAAAAAGGTAAAGGTTTGGGCCATGAAACACCTTCCCCTTCACAGGAGGTCCCTGGAGAAGGAGAAAAACAGCCTAATGAGCAAAGCCTCCCACTACGGTAAGAAAGTTCCTTTCAGTTACCAGCCCCTGCCTCCAGGTCCCAGGGGCCGAAGGGATCAGAAACCCAAGGAGCCTGACAAGGCAGCAGGGAGCAAGGGGATCCTTTGTGAGGGAGCCAGCCCCCCGAGGCTGCAGACACTCATGCTAGGCCCAGCCACCTGCGGGAGAGCAGGCTTGTTCCTTTGTTCTAAGGGAGGATGAGACAGCCTGTGGGTCTGTCTGCTCCGTGGGATGAAGGGATGTGGCCGTGGCCAGGTCTAGAAGACACTCATTCACCCAGACATTGGAAGTCTGCCCTCCCCCTACCCCAGTGCAGCCTACCCTGCCACACTCTCCCAGGAAAACTGCAGTGGAAGTGATGGGTAAAGGAAGCTGAACCTCCCACTTGGGTACCGCAAAGGCTCCTGTGGGTGGAGTGATGCCGCCACCTTCTGGGCGCTAGGGGCAGAGGCAGGTAGAGGCCAGGCCTGGCGGGCTGCTAGCGGGCAGTTGACAGGCTGGTGGGCTCCCCACTAAAGGCTGGGGAGGACCGTGTTCTAAGGTGCTCCTCAGATTTGTCTGTTCTGTTCTCCCCTGTGGGGGCAGGCCTGGCCAAGAATTGGCCCCAGGAAGGCTCCGATGTCAGGGAGCCCCCCCGAAGCGCTGGTCTGATGAATGCCGTAGGCGCAGTGCATACCCACCCACCCTGCCTGGAGTTCAGCATGGCTGGGCCGGTGCACCCTGGGCCCTGGACTCCGTCTGGCCTGCCCAGAGCAGCTCGGCAGGTGTCTCCTCCCACTGCCCAGCACAGACAGGTGTGGGACATCAGTTTCCCTTCAAGTTTAGCAGTTTTCACACAAAACCATACCACTACTCAATTTAGCCCTCACAGAGTACCCCCTACCTGCATGTCACCTGGAGGGGATAATTAGGTACAAGTGGGGCCACAGAGCAGCAGGACTAATTTCCTCTAGAGTCAAGACCAGCTGCCTCACGGACACAAACTGCCTCTTAGCATCCCTTGATTCTGCTCAACCAGGCACCTGACAGGGCAGGGACTCAGGAAACAGCCCCACTTGGCACCTATTCCACGTGCGGGCCCAGGGAGGCCCTGGGGGCCCTCAGTTTCTGGTTGGTGGATGATGGGCACAACACACCCAACCCCTTTACAGGCGAGCAGACTCACCTGGCAATGTCACACCACCTCCTAGCCTGGCTTTCAGGTGTGGCATTTTTGGTGACTCCACCCACCTCATCCTCAACCTCAACCACATTTAATGAGCAAGAGTTGAGCAGAATTGGGCATCGGGACTTTATTAGGCTGGTTCTGTAGCCAAAAGGGTGTGTCATGATTTGGGCAGATTAAGGACAGGGTCATTTTTATGGGTGGGGAGGTGGCTGGAAGGGGGCATCTCTGCCCTCAGCAGTGTGTACTCACTCATTGGAGACACAGAGAAGAGCAGTGGATGGGCCTAAACTGCCGGTCCCATCCCTATCACCCTCTTTCCTCCCAGAGAAGGAACTGAAGTTGCTTCGGCAAGAGAACCGGAAGAACATGCTGCTCTCTGTGGCCATCTTCATCCTTCTGACCCTTGTCTATGCCTACTGGACCATGTGAGCCTGGCACTTCCCCACAGCCAGCACAGGCTTCCACTTGGCCCCTTGGTCAGGGCCAGGCAGGCACTTCAAGCCTCAACAGGACCAAGGTGCCAGGACATCCCCCTCCTAGCTTCCTGGCGGCCCAGGCCGCCTTGCCTCCCCAGCCTGCTGGGGGGTTCTGTGTCTCCAGAAGGACATGGTGGCAATAAAGAACACCAAGCTGCTTCTGTCTGGTGAGTAAATGTCATGGTCTGACTAGCTGCGAGTGGGGGGATGGGGTGGGGGAGGGGGCGGTGGCAGCAGGGGTGGCACTCGGGAATTAAGAGATGTTCAAGGGAAAGCTCTAGCTTACAATTCAGAGGAGAGGAGGAGGCCCCCAGCTTGACTGGGAAGTAAGGAGATACGGGGAAGCACTTTTCTTTTTTTTTTTTTTTTTT